GAAGGGGGGGGGGGGGAATTCAAGGTCAAACAGGCTGAGAACTGCCGTCCGAAACCTGCGCGGGGTCCGTCGAAACTTCCACTCTCGTCGTCCTCTCTTCGTCCACTCTCCGGGGTGGGGGGCAAGAGGTTGTCTCAAAATGTCGCGCGAGAGGACCGCCGGCTCTGAGAGCGATCCTTCGCGACTTATAAAAGACACAAATCGCCGAAGCTTCTAGATTGTTCTACAAGGTTCTCGATCGCGTGCGATTCCCAGAATCGAACGTAAAATTTCTGGAATCCCCCATAAATTTATAGAAAAATAGGGGCCTCGGTGACGTCACTCCCGGAAATCATAGAGCTCACGACGCTAACTTAGCACGGACACCCACCATCGAAGGTTCTAGACTGTCGGTATACGTCGGTTACAGGAGTCCTGGTCCAGAACCCCCCAACTTATATTACTATTGTTCTTATTTATATTTACTTGTTTATTTATTTATTCGTTCATTTATCCATTTATTGGTTTATTAACTTTTATAAAAAGTTAAAATGAAATTTTATCGGAATGAATCTTAATAAATGTCGAAAATTAATTATTAATGAGTGGATAAATACTGTCTGAGACAAAAGCGTAGAAGGAACTTTTAGCTACAAATTCCACTCTTTTCACTCGTTGAAATATGAATTAATGGTTATAAGACACTCTGTATATTGGAATACGATTTGGGTACCGAATTTTGAGCTTTTCGTTTATCAAGCGAAAATTTGTGAAAAAAATCCCAAAAAATTTCCTGAAAGTACTTTAAGACCTTATTTATCGAATAACATTTAAAACATTTTGAAATATTGTGTAGTTTCTTTTAAATAAACAGAATATGCAGCTTCAAAATCTTCGCAATTGTCACATATAATGGTCATCATTTCCGAAACAGAATAACATAGCCAACAGTCAATATAATTGCAGACTCAGCACGTTACCCAGTGCACTGCCCGTGTCACCTACCCAGCTGCTTAGTTAAGTGCATTCCTAAGGTCCTAACCATACCTAAGAGCATCGGCAAAAAACAACTATATAAGCAGTCAAAGTACCGACGCTCAGAAAATCATTTAGTTTCACACACAAAAGATCGAACTGCACATTGTCACTCGTGGCTCTAACCGTTGGAATATCAGATCCAGTGTAATATTCGTAATCTGGCCTAAGTACGGATTCGGTATTACATACCCTAGGGAACAAACTGGATCAGTTACCGGGCAAAATTTAGCTGCATAGACTAGTCTTTCCAAGTAGCGCATATACTAGATAATTTTCTGTTCCACCAAAATTCTTTTCGCCTTACCCTCACGTACAGTCAGGTTTTGTAATCCAATTTCACGATTTTTATCCCAGTATTTCTCATAACCGAAACACTGTATACAACAACAATTAATTGGAAACTACCAAATCATTTGTAACAATATATCGCAAATTCACATTTTACTCGCGTCTTAAATATCTATTGCCCATCCTTAAACATTTCAGGAAATATCTCTCCACGTTGGAATAGCAAGGCGTGTTTCAACACCTTAAACGAGCAGCGAACTCACCATTGAGTGTATTCTTATCGCTCGAAATTCACTCAATTATTCACGTTACCTCTTGTCGTTCTTTTTCTTTTGATTACTTCTAAAATTTGTTTATCAAATTTAAAGGCCTCGCTAGCCACTACGGCCTACGTAACACAATCGATAAGGATAGAGAAAGGGGAAAAAGGCTACATTCGTAAAAAAAATCAAGGAATGCAAAACTCCATAGTTCAGCATTAATTGCATAACATGCTACATTTTAAGATAAGCTTAGAGTCATATTCTTCTGATGTCGGGTTCAGAAATTATTGATGATTGAATGTGAAGTTTTTACGCAACGCAGGCATCGGTCCACATGGTCACTCGCAGCGAAAGGCCCCGTACTTAGGTCAATCAAGCTGGAACCGCCACAGTGGAAAATCGAAATAATTTCTATTACAAAAATAGGAGCTATTAAAGAGCTAATTAAGTGACCTAATTAAAATTTTAGAACTCCACTCCTTTTCGTCAAAACCTGTGGCGGTGCTAGCTTACAACAAAGTATCGACACAGATTATAGTGTCGTGTCTACCAAGCCCTTATATGGGGTATTTAATTACCTCGTATGACTAACGGTGATTAAAAAGTGCATGTAACTAGCTTTTAATGTGACATGTTTGTTTTAATTTTTTTATTGTTTATGTTGTGGCGGCGGTTCCAACATTATATGAGCTTGCACCGCCACAGATTTTTACTAAAAGGGGTGGAGCTCTAAAATTTTAAATAGCTCTTAATTTTACAATAAATATTATTTCATTTTTCTACTGTGGCGGCTCCAGCTTTATTGATGTCCCGTACTTGAAAGGTTAAACAGAATCTCATGTCGTTACATTCCAAATTAAGTTTATGAGTAGTGTGAAGTAAAAAAAAAAGTAAGTAAAAGTAAAACGCTGAGGTAATCTATTACTTCAGGGTGACTAGTACCAGGTTAAACAATCATTGTAAGTGTTGTACACATATCTTATGCCACACGAAGTGCAAGTAATACAATATTCGGAAATTTTACAAATTTTCATTAAATCATACCTATTTGTCATTGACATTCCTGGCCTGTTTGTCCGTTTAAGCATCACTTTGATCTGTCGACCTCGGAACATAGATTCATCCATAGCCATCGCCGTTTGTACAGAATCTCGATCAGCAAACTCTATGTAAGCAAACCCTTTAGGATGTCCATCAAATTTGTTGCATAATATCGTCACTCTGTTAACACTGCCACATCCATGGAAATGTTGCTCCAATTCTTCTGCAGTTGCTCCATAATCCACCTTAATTCATAGGAGACATATAAAAAATGGCAAGTTTTATAAAACAATAATCAAATTACAAAACGTTTTTCTTTAATTATTCAATTATACACACCGAAAGAATAATATGGGAATAATCTCTTAATTCAGCATAGCAATCAAATCATATTCCGGCGTTCTGTCGACTTGCGTTATACATAGCCATACAGTTACTCTGCGTATCGTTATACGATGGACGAAACATAGAAATTATATCCATATTTTAGACCCTCGAGATTTTAGTGATCCTCTCAATACATAGTAAGGTATACAGGGTATTCGTTATGTAACGCACTGTAGTAACACTGTTCCATTTCTTATCAAATTCTAAGGAATACGTATTTTCATTTTTTATTTCATATATCAAAATTTCGAGATAATCAAGGTCGAAGTTGCAGTATGGCGACCAATCAGAACGCGTTTAATCGGAGAGTAGATGACGTTGCGAGCCAGCCCGCAAGGCCTGCTTACACTAAGCCAATAACACTAAGAGTATCGTCGTAGTGTTCCTGTTTATCTGCATGTAATTGAGTAAGATACAATCGCACGCTGTAACGTCAGTGAATTTCAGAAGATACCCTTTATTCCTTATAATGTCTATTCCTTTAATCTGACAAGATAGTTGTACCAACGTATTACGTTTTGAGTGGTCCTGAAAAGGACCGATTTTGATCTACGCATGACCGAGCTTGGATCTCGACATGCTAATCTGCAACAATTACATACATTTTCTATGATAACAGTAGTAAGTCTACTGCAGTCGAATGACTCGTTTACAAATTACAACCTATTTCGCTTCACATTTCGGAGACAGTCAGTTTGATTTATGTTGTTCCAACTGCAAGATCGCATTATGAGTAATTATTCTGTGAGATAATATTGCGACATGTATTGCGTGTTAGCCCACCCAATGTAATGGCAGCCAAACATAAGCAGCGCAAGAACATGTAAATAGGTATCCTAATCGGCGACATCTTGATAAAAATATTACGTACTTTACAATATTTACTGTTTCAGAATAGTCATTATCCGAGATCCAAGCTCGGTGATGCGTATATCAGAATCGGTCCTTTTCAGGACAACTCAAAATGTAATACGTTGGTACAACTATTTTGTCAAATTAAAGAAATAGACAATATAAGGAATACAGAGTACTTTCCAAAATTCAATGACGTTACAGCGAGCGATTGTATCTCACTCAATGAATGTAGATAAACAGGGACACTACGACGATACTCTTAGTGTTATTGGCCTTGTGTAAGCAAGCCTTGTGGACTGACTCGCGACATCAGCTGCACTCCGTTTAAACACGTTCTGATTGGTCACATTACTACAATTTCAACCTTGATTATCTGGAAATTTTGATATATGAAATAAAAAATTACAATACACGTATTCCTTAGAATTTGACAAGGAACGCAACGGTGTTACTACAGTGCGTTTTATAACGAACACCCTGTATACATTAATCAGTGTGGTGATTTTAACCGTACTGTATGCATATCTCCGTAGATTCTATAGTGAGGCGACCACAATATGTATTGTAACGTATTTTCTTAACTCGACACCAATAACGAAAATCCGAGAGCTAACCTACGTCACCTTCGGCCGTCGACCCTTTAACCATGTATCCGCATGCCAGGCGTGCGGCACGCCAATTCTTGTTTCACCGTGAACCGACGAGCCGGTATGACCTGAGAGTTGAGGTGGGACAGTCTCAACTCTGCCAAAAAGAGAACTCTGACGAAACTTATCAGAAATGACGATAGCCTAACGGATCCTGTCGATTTTTGGTAACGCGTAAAATCGAGAAACGCAACCGTAGGTGCTGATCTTTGGGATCGCGTAAAATCAGCAAACGCAACTGGATGCACGAACAGAAGCGACCGGTCACGGAAATGCATGGCCGCTCAAGCTGCTAGGTTGAAATAGAAAGTGTTAAAGTAAGCGTCAGGTAAATAGTGCCGGAAACAAAGAGTAATTGATCGAGAACGTAGCAGAACGAATCGGAGCTATAAAATCGAAAACCCTTCACCAATTAATAAATTGAGAGTGCTCACCGGAGCTGGCGCAGCTAATCCTTCAAGGCCGAGAACTGTATCCATAGGATACTCAGGTGGGCACTGCACTAGAGCACAGCACTGCACCTCCAAAAAAACACAGAAAATCTATAGGATTTTCAGGATATTACAAGAGCAACACGAGAATTACACGAGCGAGAACTTTCTATACCGTACAGAAAACACAGCTAGCAAAACTATCAACAGATAGCACAGGAGCGTGAGCCAGTTCGAGGCACCTCGATCGATGTCCTAAGACAGATTATGTCTTGAAAATAGTCAAATTCGGGAACTAATGATTCTGATTGGTAGAGATACTTATGGCCAATAACTCTTAACCTTTCCCTCGAGTCTTTTCTTTAAACTAAATCGAGAGCATTTCTTAGCGAATTGGTAAGTAACAGGTCGGAGATCCTCCACGGCCGCTACCCCAGAGCATCGGGCAATAGCTGAGCACAACAACCATAACTCGGGTCATGGGGTTCCTCCTATGCCTTTAACTGTAACAAAACGGTATCTCCACCCACTTTGCAGCCCTTTATCACTCTCCAGCAGGGCGCCGATACCTCACCCGGGATTCTGCCGGTTCGTAGCGACGTCTCCATCGGATACCCACCACTGTCATTCAACTCAACTCAACTCAACTCAACAATAATGAACCTTTCCGAGAGCATTGGCGTAACTGTACGAATCAGCCCAAAAGCGTAGCTTCTAAGTGGGATGGCGACTCGAAAGGAACCATAAAGCGAGAACATTATCTCAATCGGTAGCTGGAGTCGCTTTCTGACTATAAGTTGCAAAATTACGTCACAATATGGGCACCTTTCCTATACTGCATTGTCCACGAGCATAATTCATTTTCACCCAAGAGTATGGGGAGATTTCCCAAACTGCCGAAATATTTTCAGTTTTCTATCTTGTGTCGGATGCAATCCCATGTTTTCATAGTCTATAACCAAAAAATGTGCTCCGTGTATCAATTTGCTGAATGATACACTAAAGGAATATAATATTATTGCGTAAATTACGTATACAGGGTGTTCCGAAACTACCTGACCCGGTGGGTATGGCGGTGTTCGGGAGGCTTCACTGATCACGAAAATAACCTTCCTTTTGTCCGGAAGCTCTTAGTCTTTAAATGGGACCAGGTCAAAGTTGACCAATCAGAGGGAGGCGTCAAGAGAAACGTAGGCACCTACGAACTCTGAGTTTTCTTCCCTTGCATTTGTTTCTCGGTAGCTTGTTTCTTGTTTCCAATAGGCATGTCTTCGGCTGACGTCATCCTGCCGGAAGCCACCGAGAAACAAAAGCGAGGGAAGAAAACTCAGAGTTCGTAGGCGCGTACGTTTCTGTTGACGCCTCGTTCTGATTGGTCAACTTTGACCTGCTCCCATTTAAAAACTATGACCTTCCGGACAAAAAGAAGGTCATTTTCGTGATCAGTGAAGCCTCTCGAACACCGCTATACCCACCGGGTCAGGTAGTTTCGGAACACCCTTTATATTCTTACATATTTTCATCTGGTAGTACAGCATCACTTAAGGAGATCGTACACTTAAGGTATTACTACGGACCGAAAAATAACAAAATTTTCAATGTAAGATTTGAACAATCCAGCGTCAACTTTTGAACTGGTACAGTTCACTCACACACGCCCATCCCTGCATCGATAGGCGCACACTAATATACATTGGATGTAGTAGTGTATACGTATATACACCGAATACAGTCTCAAACGCAATGTTGCCGTAACGCTCTTTTGTCTAGTCGTCGTACGAAAGATTTCGTAATAAATATCGAACTTCTTTCATGTCTATCAATAAATCCTATGAGTAAAAAGTTCTGACTAAAAATCTAAAAAATTCCTAATTTTTTCCTTTGCCACATACTAGTTTTTCATCGGAATTACGCGGACGAGTCAAATGCAATAAAAAAAACCATGCGCGTTTTATTGGCCAGGTATAGGGAATACGTGTTACGAGTCCTGACTTTTACTCGGAAATACTCGGAAACTGATGAGTGAATCGTGTTAACAATTTGTAGAGAGATGTACTGCTATATGAATTAGACGTAAAACAAATTTCAGCTCGATTAGGCGGTTTTGAGTTTACCGTAGTAATACCTTAAATGACCAAAATATATGACTTGCATCTTGAATTTATGTTTCAGTTGTTTTTGTTCTTTAGGCTGCATACCGAATAATATTTAACGATATTTATTTAAAAATATTCATATAATTCGTAATAATTCGTAAAATATAAATCACCATAAAACGCGTATGCGGTAAAACGGGTTTAGGTACCAGGGTTTAATAAATTCCTCCAACAATATTTTTGCAACAACTCCATTATTAAATTAACAAATTGTAAAGATGATTACCTTAATATATCTATTAAAATGTATTCGTTGAATAGCCGTTGCTATGGGATATAAAAAAGAAGAAGAGAAGACTGAAAACGAGTCTAATAATCCTGAACGTACGATTATTTTTCAGAAGTGGGATTATAAGTTGATACACGTGCGAATTTCTAGTGAATGAATCTGGGATTCATAAATAGAATTAAATTAACGGAATTCTTCAATCGATCGTTAATATGATTCGAGCAATCAAGATTATTGATATCAAATTCGGAAATTGAGTTATCAAATAATACACCGTGAATTCTAACGTTATAAGTCCGTCGGAGAGGAGAAAAAGAGGACGACCGAAAAAAATTCAAATCGACACGACAGTCCAGAAATCAGAATACGGAATACGCCAAACAATGAATAGGACTCCAATGCAATCAACAACCGGAATACAATCTAAAAATAATGCAGAAGGAGTAGGCCATCAAGGTTTTGTCGAACAATGTTCTGTTAGTGGACTTGGGACCTAATCTCCTGGAATTACACAGATTAACATTTGCGAAACGTCGGCAATACGCTAAAACCAGAGGCGGCAACCATCCGGAAGCCACGAATTTTACTACTTAAAAAAATTACGTCTGCTACAATCCTATAAGTCGAATACGTATTTCCATGGAACTATTAAAAGTTCTAACGAGTTTCAATCCAATGGTTCAAAATGTTGGCATTAATCAATGGATTAATAAAATAGAAGAATACGCAGATATGTACGGTTAGGATGATTTAACCACGAAACATTACGCTCTATTAAAACTCGAAGGTATCGCAAAAAATGAAGGAATAGTCTTGAAAAAGCCGACAGAACATGGGAAGACTGGAAAACATTATTTAAAAAATACGTTTCTGAGCGAAGAAACTGGTATCAAGAAGGTTTTAAAGGCTCAGAATTACAAATAGCAGTCGGACCAAAATATTATCGAATATTTTTATGGGAAATTGTCACGATGCAACAATGTTCAAATGAGAAAACGTGAAATTGTCAAATGGATCGTCGATGGGTTGGAGAATGTCCGAAACCATTCATATTTGGGAACTCTTTCTCGATATAAAGAAACAATCGATCTATTACCAGATTTGAAAAAGGAAGATAATTTTATAGGAGACCATATATGTCCAACGTCGAAATTAATGTTTTCACAGAAGGAAAGTCAGCGTTTGGATCATCAGAAAATAGGACAGCCAAATAAGTTGCATCGTACTCCTGCACAAGAAAAGGTAACCACAATAACAAGAGATACGAAAAAAAGTTACTTGTTTCAAACGTGGAAATGTTGGTCACTACACATGAAATTATCTTGAAAATTTAGAAAAAAAAAGATCGACCAAAAGAATTAAGAAAAGTAGATAACGAGACAAATTTACACATTTAATGGAAACTCTCTCGCAACATTTTTCAAGAAACGTTAATTAACCACAACGAAATGAGGTGTTACGTTGACTTGAAAAACGGAGTGACCACCTCCAGGAAGCATCACGCTGATAGATTACACTTGGCATATTTTGAAAGTAAACTTAATTCACGTTAGGATACGGTGGAGGTCAAGTCACTCCAATAGGTGTAATTGGCCATGGAAATTGAAATTAGTGGAGTTAAGGCAAAATGTAATGTTTTCGTAGTTTCGAACGAAGCACAGCTCGTACCATTGTTGGACGGAGATTCTTATACGGAACAGCAGAATGGTCATATTTTAAATACAAAAAAAGTCTTGAATATAACGAGTAATATAGGCGGATTATTGAAGATCGAGACAGCAAGACCGAGTAAAGCCAAATTCATAACTGAAGATGAAAGTCATTCTGAGGAATCATCTTGATCACATCAATGCTGATAGTATTTCAGAAATGATTTTTACGTCGAGGGTATAATAGTATAAGGGAAACGAATGATACAATACCCCGATGTATTATTAGCACAAATGGAAAAAGATCATCCGTCATGTCAATAATGAATTTGAGCAGTATCGAGATGACGATTAAAAAAGGATAGACGATTGTACGTCGAGAAGCGTTCATGGAAGAAAGAATGAGAAATCTACAACAAAGAAATATAAAGATGAGATCGATTCGGATCTAGACATAACACCGACACGTTGATCCAGTTAATGAATATAGATGTAGAGGGGTCGTCGCGAGAAACCTACAATAGATGAAAAAGCAGAACTTACAATTAGCTGAAATGTTTATTCATTTAAATACGGACAAACCAGTCTGTAATCGATCAAATCGACTTATCATGAGAAAGAACAACTGAAAGACATGATCGCGGATTTGAAGAAAACGGATATAATCGAATATAATTCGTCTCGATATGCAAGTTTGATTATATTGGCGCGGAAAGAAAATAGGAGAAGTAAGGATATGCGTCGATTGTCATTCGTTGAACAGGATATCACGATCAAAGATAGATATTCATTACCACTGATCAGTTGGACAGATTGAGCGGTCATCAATACTTTACAAGTCTGTAAATTACCCATATCCGTTTCAACATGAGTGACGATTAATTTTAAGAAATGACATTTCTTTAAAACGAAGGTGGATTATCTGAGCTTTAAGATTTTAGAGTCGTTTATCGAACCAGGTACAAAGAAAGTAGACTGCAATCAATTTTTCTTGACACGTACGAATGTCGTGGCCGTAAGAAGTTTTATTCGATTAATCAACTTTTTTTCGAAGATTTGCGAAGGGTTTCGCAACAATAATTATAAAACCATTGACGATATTATTGGCCAAAAAAGAAAATTTCATTTGAAATTCGGAACAACAAAAAGCGACAGAGGAGATCAAGCTGAGACTATCGTCCAGATTAATATTTCCAATCTACAATGGGAATGCGAAGACGAAAATTCACACAGACGTTAGTCAACACGAGTGAGGAGCGGTTTTGTTACAGGAATAAGAAGATAAACGAATGCAACTAATCAGTTATTTCGGTAGAAAAACCACAAACGACGAAGCCAAGGACCATTCGTACGAGTTAAAAGCATTGACAACTGTCTGCGCGCTGGAAAGATTTCGCGTACATCTCATCGGAATGGAAGTCATAATCAAGACGGATTGCAATAGTATGAAACTCTTAGAAGGCAAGAGAGATTTGAATCCTCGTATAGGAAGATGGTTTATAATCTCATAAACCGGATTATCGGAATTCAACCATTGCATCAAATATTTGAAAAACGAACATAATTGTGTCGCTGGTGGATTCAGTCGTCATCCGCTAATCCGGCTGAAGCTTCGCCAATCATTGGAATGCCGACCATGGGTATCAACGTTAATACCGATTGGACAGCAGCTATGCAACGAGCAAGTCTGGAGATTCTCGCAGTAACAGACAAGTTGGAAGTTGGAGATGCGGAAGTGCATAAGAATTTTACTATGTGCAATGCCACAGTATATCAAGTAACAAAGGCAAGATGGCGACTGTACGTTCCCAGAGAACTAACGCAGGATATAACTACGACAGTTCATAAGAGTCTTGCACATTTAGATTTTAGCAAGACTCTCCCGAAATTGAAGAAAACCTATTATTTCCCAGGAATACGAAATTACGTTACAACTTACGTTAATCGCTGCATAAATTGTTCATACTATAAAACAGAAATGGAAAAGAAACCTGGATATTTAGATCCAAGAGAAAAAGGAAGTGTCCCTTTCTAGACGATTCACGTTGAGCATATGGAGCCTTTCAACAAAACAATACGAGAGAATAAATCTGTTGATAAATACTGAGAGAATAAAACTGAAGATTACAGGGACGATGAAACTATTGTAGCACTACAAAAATTAATGTCCCATTATGATAAGCCAAGACCCATCATTAGTGATCAAGGAGCAGCATGTATTTAAAAACAATTTAAAAACTTTTGATTGGAGTTTGAAATACATACAGATTGCTATCGACACTCCAAGGGCAAATGATCAAATAGAAAGACTGAATAGTTGTAATTTTGAATTGTTTGCCCATTATATCAAGCGAAATAGAACACAGAGGCCCGTTTTCTTCAATTGGTTCAATGCATAAACTCCGTTTATCTTCAAAATAAAAGTATCTGATTGGCTAATAGTACAGTTAAACCGAGTTTAAGCATTGAACCGCATCGAAGAAAACGGGCGAGAAACTGGGGTGAGAAAATCTATAAAATACAATGGAGTATAAATAACAGTACTCATCCGATAACCAAGCAAAGGCCACCCGCAATTATCTTCAACTACAAACCAGTAGGAAGGGGAGATTAAATATAATATTAACTCGCAAAATAAAAGAACTGAATAAAGTATTTGAAGTCAAAGAAGAACGCGAGGATGTCACAGAACTTGTATAAACGAACAAAGAAGTACTACGTGAACAATTTAATAAGAAGCGCAACTGCGCAGAAAAATTAAAATCGGGACAACTAATATTAGTAGAAAGTAGAAAATTGGCAAAAAATTACAGTGGACCTTACGAGGTCGTCAAAGAAAAAAAAAATGATCGGTATCTGATTCAAGATATCGAAGGAGAAAAACAGAGTCAATGATTCTACAAAGGTATAATTACTATGCATGGATCGAAAATAATTCCCAGAGTAGAATAATTTTGAAATAATCATCGCCGAGGTAGTCGATTACTATGAGAAAGGCCGAATTGAAAAAAATTATCTAAATATATCTATGAAAATGTATTTGTTTAACCCTTAAACGTATGAATTAAAAAAAAAGGAGGACCAAAATCTGGATGATTTCATTCAGGTACTAGTAATGACTTTTAAATGCTTGGTATCATTTTTGATACTAAGTTCAAAGTTATAGGAAGCAATTTACTGTATGTTTCATGATAAAATAAATGGTTCGAATATAAGACAACACTTTTTGCCAATTTAAATTCACCAATCGAAAGAACTGGGATTAGGCTACAATCAATGTCAATATTTTTATTTAAGCAAAAGTGAAACGGTATGAGCCACTGGCCAATCGCACTAGAATCTATTTGTAATGTAATTAAATTTTTAATAAAACTAAACCGTATAATTCTTTGCCGGGTCACACAAGTATTCATGTAAGTTTTTATAATTAATACAATTAATATATAATTTATAAGTATTCAAATCCCCTTTCGTTATTATAAAAGTTACACCTGTCGTTATCACGTTACGAAATCATACAGTCTAATTAATACCATTGTCATTACTTTTCCGCAATACTGATGGCTTTGTCGATCCCTTTTATATAAATGCCCAGAGGCGAAATTCGAACTTTCTTAGGTAACATAAAAATAAGACACTACTTACATTGCCGACGTAAATAGATCTGCTATCAACTTCCATCTTATCTTCGATAGACATATTCAACGGACTAGCTGCAAATATAAGGAACAGACAATTTTAAATAATGTCAAATAAGAAAACTTTTGGTTTTGCAATAGTAGAATGTTTATAATGCTCTACGTAGACTCAAACAATAGAATAAATGATTAACCGATCCTTTTGAAATTTTGTACACTATTTCTACACATAAATCAACAGGTAGTCAGAGGGAGTTTTTTTTACCATTTTTTTCCATTTTATAATAACAAATTCAACGGAATTTTCAAACGAAAATCGCGTTTTTCACTTCAAAATACTGCTAAAACTAAAAAAATCGAAAAAAAACTCCCTCTGACTACCTAGGGAAACATATCACCTTTTAAACGCATTTCGACTTTTTTGTTTGAGATGATCCGGTAACGACGAGTTATCAAGTTGACCGCATAACAACTTTTTTTCGAGGCGCTTTCGGAGATTCGCTGTCACGGACTTATTTATTGATATTTTTAATTGAAAATTTTTTCAAAGATACTTCAGATGTTATACTATAACGTGTATATGATATAAATAACCCAACATTATTCATATTTCAAAAAAAAACAATCATGAAAATATGTCTTTATTTCGCCTTTAAAACCTCCCCCCCCCCCCCC